CCAAGAATACATTAATGAATTTATTATTCAAAAGTTGAATCCGTTGCTAGTTGTAGATTTCAGATTGATCTCTTCAGTCTTGCATGTGTAATGAGCCGTGAATTCACACGCGAGGCATTTATGAAATTTCTACCAGCTCCATTTTCCTGAAATTGATGTAAATGTCTTCTAAGAAGATTAATCCATTCAAAGATTTCCAAACTGACCAGATACAGAGAAGTTCTCGTAAAATATTCACTGCTCATTACGCATGCAGAAATGCCGCTATGAATTTGACACCAGTTACGGGAACGACTAACGGATTCATTTTTCAAATAATCAATTCATTAATAGAATCTTGGGGGGTACGCTTGACTTGGTTTGACTGTAAGTATCTTCACTTTACAAATAAAACAGTTTCTTTGAAAATATCTCATATTACCCTCCCTTTTCTGAGCAGCACTAATTTTACTGCGCAGTAAACAGCGTAAATATTAGCCATGAAAAGTCTATTGACCTGATCAGAACGGCGTCTTCTGCGACTGTTTCGCAAGCTTTCAAATCGCCAAAACTTTCATCTTAAAGCTGAAATGTTCAGCTTTCATTCGAGATTATACTTCGTTTACCGAGAACTGAAAAGGGAGCCTCAAAATTTGAGTTTTTGTTTCAAGTGTCCGGATACTGGTACCGTCCGGATACTGGGCAACATACTGTATTTAATAAAATATTACTGTCGATTAAAGCGTAAATATATAGAGGATATTACACGGTGGCGCGAAGATATGAATTTTATTTTCGAGTGGCAAAACAATATTTTACGAACGAGCGCAGCGAGTGAGTAAAATATTGTTTTTGCCACAAGAAAATAAAATTCATATCTTCAAGCCGCCGTGTAATGTTCTTTTTATTATATAGACAAAAAGACATCGATAAAATAATAGAGGGAAATTGTGTGAAAACGTGTGAGATTATGGAAAATAAATCACTCGGGTTCCGAATGTACTTTTTATGAATTTTATGAGTGGTATATTTTCCAGTAAAACACTCGTGTCTATATAATAAATAAATATAAAAAAAATTCGCTTAACCGCTACGCTCAAGATGACAATAAAACTCGAAACATTTATCAAATGACTTTAGATATTTATTATTCATTCAAAATATTTCTCTGCTTCTGATTGGCTCAGATCCCGCGGCTTGTAGTCCAGTTTCGAATTCGTCGTGGCCCTTGAACAAAGCGCAAAAGACTTATTTGTACAGGGTTAGCCTCGACCTAGTATAAAAGTAAGTAACATATTCACAAATACCGGCGAGAAAGTGCTTGAATTTGAGTTTAAAACAATAGACACAGTTGTACACTGGTCTTTTTTTCACTGGAATTTGTGAATACATATTAACTTAGGTCGAGGCTTACCCTGTATAAATGAGTCTTCAGTGCTTCTATTCAGAGGCCGAGACGAATTCGAAACTGGACTATTCTTCATAGTCAGTTTGCGTTGACCAAATTTGGAAGACGTTCGCGATCTTTGAAAATGACGTCAGTTGTAGAGCACAAATGCCCGAGAAATGAACGGCAACAGAGAAGCCCTGGGGACAATGTTACGTGGGACATTTCACACGTTTGACGAAGAAGAAGAAATAACCCATCTACTGCCTCAAAACACAGCAGGAACAGCAAGAGTACAACGCGACCGATGACGTCTGTTGTTTGAAGATTATCTGCTGGACTACACATCTCTTTACATCGTGAATTGCAGAAAAACATGCAAATAAAGAAGGGAACTTAATGTCGATGGTGGTAAGCATGTTTTAGCTTGTTTTTAAACTAGAATGATTTTGAATGAATAATAAGACAATTGTTATTGGATTCGGCTAGCCTTATCCAATAATTGCTAAATATTTTCATCTGAAACAATTTAAAATTCACGTAGAAAGTTTACAACCTCTTATTCATATTTGAAATACCTAAAAGCAAAGGTACCCTTTAACTAGAACACCATGTGTCCAACATTAAATATTTTAAATGCAATTACCAAAAGCTACCAAATGACTACGATATAACTATTTTCATCTTCACCAAATTCAAAATGCACGAAGAATGTCAAAATTTAATGTTATGGAAAGCAGGAAACTGAAGCAATCCTGGTGTACTTTAACTGGACCACCACGTCTGCTAAATGTAAAGGTTGAAACCTGCATGTCAAGTTATACGAGACAGTGTCGGATGCAGACCTTGAGATAAGGGGGGGGGGGGGGGGGGGGCGACACCAGGAACCCATATAAAAAGGAGGGGGGGGCGGGGTTGCAATAAAAGAGTTTTTTTGGCTGTGTGGGACGAGAATTGGGTGGTGACAGGAAATGGAGCCAGGCCGTCACAGGGGCCCACCTTGGCGGATTAAAGCAGCGCTATGAACGAGGTTCGCAAGACTGAACA